TGTACTTGAGATTTCTGTGGGTGTCTCCGTAGATAGAGGGATGAAAAGGCGCTTGAATTTTCGTCTCCTCATCTTAGACCTATGTAGGTAAACTTTTAATGCTCTGACTGGACATAAGGATAGATCCTGAATATCCTGTGGTCCAAGGACTGACGAAAGTGCTGGGATGTGGAATTGCCTGTCTGGCTGACCGGGCAATTGGTTCTTTGCTATGAAATCCCATCTCAATCCCAGATGTATGATATTGCGATGTGCAGCAAATCGTATTTGTTCAAAGTCCAGAGCATGTATTTCTGACATCCGAGCTGCTGTTGCCAAGGCGACCAGGAACAGAGTTTTATGCGTTAGAAACTCATAGGATGTCCTTTCTAGTGGTTCATAAGCATCACTGGTGAGATGCTGTAAGACTACGTTAAGATCCCAAGCAGGCGCTTTGAATTTCTTTTGTTGGTCTTCCAACTTAAAGGAGCGTAGTAAAGCTATTATCTCTGGTACCTTAGTCAGTTTTACACCTGTCATCATTGTGATAACTGTACTGAGGGCCGCTAGGTATGTAGAGAGTGTTGAACCTTTTAACCGCCCTGTTTGTCTTAGATGACAAAGGTATTCCACCACTTGAGGATGTGTTGCTTTCATTGCCGTGAAGCCCTTCCTTAAAGAGCATTTCTCAAAACTCTGCCACTTGTCGTCGTACAAGCTGCGGGTTGATGTACATTGAGCTAATGTGACTGCGTTTGGTGCTCTGGCGGAGTATCCTCTTTTTTACAAGCAAGTTTTGATACGTTCCATGTGTGTAGTTGGAATACTGTTGGATTCCCGTGCACTTGCTTGGTGTGCGGATGACTTAGTAGGTTCGGCCACTCTGGAAGTTGTAGGGTTGGATTTCCGAGTTCTTGTATGAGGATGGGAAACCACACCCTCGCTGGCCAGTAGGGCGCGGCAAAAAATCAGTTGCAGGTTCTTCGTCTGCTTGATTTTCTGCAATACCTGCGGTATTAGAGCTGGAGGTGGAAACGCTTATGCGTATAGTCCTTCCCAGGAGATGCTTAGAGCATCTGTTGCCCATGCTTGTGGATCCGGAACTGGAGAGACGAATGTTGGTATTTGTTTGTTGAACCTTGTAGCAAACAGGTCTATAAGTGGAGATCCTATCCTCTGTATGATGAATCTGAATGCTTCTGGGTGTAACATCCATTCCGTCGGGGATGGTTGTGTTGGACGAGATAGGGCGTCTGCTATCACATTCTTGGCTCCGGGAATGTGACATGCTTTAACGTTGATGTTCAAATTGTCTATTATGCTGAAAGATGAAAGCTGAGATCTAGCAGATTCCTTCACCTTGTTGATCCTTGTTTGTTGACGTAGAATGCCACTGTGGAGTTGTCAGTATGGATCATCAGTTGTGCGTTCCTTAGTATGCTGGACCAGTGTAGTAAGGCGTTTATGACTGCTTTCATCTCGAGCATGTTGATGTGCAGACTTTGCTCCTGATTTGACCATTTCCCTGCTGCCACTTCGTTGTCGAGGTGGGTCCCCATCCTTGAAGTGATGCATCTACGTAGAGATGAGTGTTGTACTCTGGCTCTGATAAGTCGGTTCTTCCGCAAACATTCGACTTCCGAGTCCACCATAGGAGATATGGTTTCAGTCCGTCCGGTAGTCCGAAGGAGTCCAGACAGTCTAGATGAGCGTTCACAAACACTTGTAGTGGGCGCAGTTGTACTCTTCCTCTGCGTGTCATGTCTTGTGCTGACGTGAGGAGAGTAGGCTCTGCCAACTTCGTAGTGGTAACGGAGAGAGTAGTGCTTGAGATATCATTTGTTGTATCTTAACCCAACGCTCCTCTGGGACTACTATGCGATTCTGCAATGTCATGAACCGCATTCCTAGGAATTGCAGATCCTGTGTGGGTTCTAGTTCCGATTTGAGGAGATTTACTAGCCATCCTAGTTGTGTGAGTAGCCTGATTGTGAAGTCCAGTTGCAGTCTGAGTTGACTCGGATCTTGATGAGCTTGAATCCCGTCGTCCAGGTAAAACGCACTGCGTAGACCTCAATGATGTAGATAAGTGATGATTGTCTTTGTCACTCGAGTAAACAACCAGGGGGCCGACGATATTCCTAATGGTAGAACCTTCCATTGGAAGTGACGTCCGTTGAAGAGGAATCGTAGGTATTTCCTTGAGTCCGGATGTATCGGGATGTGAAGATACGCATCCTGTAGATCTATGCTGGCGAGGTAGTCTAATGGACGTCGATTGTCGCAGTTGAGGCAGATGTATCATTCTGAACTCTGCGGGGCTGTGTAGATAATCTTGGTTGAATTTCCTCATGTTGTATATAAGTCGGAACTTTTCCCTGGAATTTTTCTTTGGTACTAAGAAGATTGGGGAGTAAAAACCGGGCGTGACGAACTCCTGTTTTATTTCTTCGATCGCCTCCTTCTCGAGTAGAGTTGTGATAGCTTCGATTAAGTTCTCCCTCTGGTCGGCAGCATAGTTGTGGGCCAGAGAGTTGCTTGTCAATGGTGGTACTGCTTGTAGTTGTATCTTGTATCCTCTGCGTAGGATCTGGGAAACGTAGTCATCCTGAAGAATTCCCCAATAGCGTTGTAGACGTCCACCCACTGTTGAAGGTTGTAAGGGAACGGCTGGGGGTGGAAGACTCCAGTCGTTCCGAACCTGTCCTTCAGCATCTAAAGTTCCTGGCCCCTCTAGATGCCCTGCCTCTTCCAGGGTTACCTCTGGGACCTCCGGTTGGGCGACGAAAAGAATCCTTGCCTCCTCTGGAGCTGCCGTATTTCTTTTCCCTGGCTCTTTGTATTCCTGTACACTTCAACTTGATCATCATTACCTCCCTTGACTCTTTCGTTACTTCCTTGGCCACGTCTTTAATTTCCCCTGCGAAGATAGATGGTGCTGACCACGGAGCTCTGTATAGTGACTTGGTGAAGCGTTCACTCCAAGTGCAGGAAGATAGCAATCCTTGTCTTCTCAATAGTGTCAGTCCTGCTGATGTAGATGCCAGATGTTCGGACATGAACTGATGATCTTTCTTCTGGGTTAGCAGTACCGAGTAGATCATTCTATCTTCTTCCGGGCGAGTTCCTAAACTTCGCGATGAGGGTTTCATTGATGGCTCTTGACCTGGCTAGGCCAAAGAAGGTACGTCTGGTAGTTGTGTCTATTTGTGCCAACTTCTTATCTTCCACTTTCTAAGTCCTGGCTTGGGAGTCGTTGATGATCTTGTAGTTCTCATCTATCTCTGGGCCCTTCGTGAAGGGTTCCATGTAGTGAAGAGAGAACTTCTTGGCGTTGAATGGTGGGACGCTCTGACTCTGGAACTTCGTTGCCTGAGGTTTTCCGGTACATCTGTGACAGGATCGATGGGTGGAAGAGTAAGTGTATCGATGTCCTCGTTAGACATCCTGTACGTAAATGCTTCATTATCCTCTTTAGAAGGTGATGCAAGTTCTAATCCATTTGCCATCCAAGATTTGATCTCTGTATCGGAAAATATTATTCCCCCATCATCTTCAGATTTAGAGGCTTCTTGTTCTGGAGATGGTTGCCATTCTGTCTCTTTCCTGTGTGGAGACCTGCGTGGAGACCTGCATGGAGACCTGCGTGTAGACCTGCATGGAGACCTGCCTGGAGACCTGCATGGAGACCTGCGCGAAGACCTGCGCAAAGGCGATAAATTCGGAAAAGGATCCTCCCTGGAGTCTTGAGACGTATCTCTGTGCCTTCGTGAAGGTGTAGATTCTCTTCTATGGTGCCTGCGTGCAGGCTCCTGATGGCTGATGCTGCTGCACTGCGGACGACGCATCTGAGAGTACCGAGGCATCTCCCAAGGACTGCTGCACTTGTGATGATCTGCCATCTTTATCTGATGTCTGCGTCGATAAAACGTCTGACTGCGTTGAGATGACTGCTGATGTTACTGTAGATGAAGACCTCATCTTCGTCCTCACTGCCACTTCAGGGATGAGGATGGGTGGCTCATCATATACGTCTACTTCATCTGCCGGGAAGATCTCTGTAGCGAAAGACCTCGTCTTAAGAGCTGCCCCATGTGAAGACTTCGCCGGAGTCTTGTTAGTAGACGACTTCTTCTTCTGAGAACACGATGACCTAGTCTTCTTCGAATGCGATGAGGTTATAGTTGATGAAGACAACCTCTTCTTGGAGCCGGAGCCGCCATCAGTCACAGCTCCACAGACGTAGCCGGTAAACCACTGGAACGGTGAATGTCAGCAGACAACAACAAACGGTTATCAACGCAATCATTTGGTTTAGACATGACTTGTGAAAGTCGTCTAGACCTGTCCTTGGCACGCCTAAGAACGAAATATAAATAATTATAAAATTCAAATTCAGATAAATGCTGACAAAGTTGACAGCGTAAGCTGGAAGAACATGGAGAAGTACAATTAGGACATATTAAATGCGGATCAGCAACCGACAACCGGTATCTGCAATGACTGCAAGTTTTCATCAAATGTAAACAAGATGAAAAAAACATGTCAACAACGTGAATAAAACAGATAATTCGGACAAAATTTCAAACCATATAGTTGGTATATCAATCCTAAAAGCTGTATACAGCTAATTTAGTAGCAAAGGCCTAAAAATTAAAGGATATAACGCCGTATAGGGGACCCAGGCGCTCTCACAACCGTCCTCTAGGGCGAAGAAGGAGAGAGTGAAGAGCATGTTGGGTCATGTGATGCATTTTCCCTCCAAAACATCTATAGGGAGATAACACTGGATGAGTGATTTTACGTCCGCTTGTTTGAAGGGAGCTTCAAAAGGGGATTCAAGTGTTCCACTATCATTCGCAAGAAGGAGACAAGCAATCAAGCATGAGTCAGGATAAGGAAAAATATTACTGTTACCAAAATATCCCCAGACAAATCATGTCTGACCTGCTGTGATCAGTAAGTGTTGTCTACATCTACATGCAGCCTGTATGTTCCACAAGCAGATATTTTCCACCTACCATGGCTACTCTGGTAGCAACATCAACTGAGTCCACATCATTGCCATAGATGAGCGGGTTGAATCCAGTCTGTGAAGAGAAACTTTCACGTCGTTGCCATGCCTCTGGATTTTGAGCCAGAGCATCAAGGTTTTTGATTGGCTGAGGAGTCATGCTCATGCTCGCAAGTGCCTGCAACCGATCCCCAAGTTAGTGTGTTAGTCATGCAGATGCAGCCAACAGCAGACCTCTTCATAAGTAGTTCATCCTTAGGTATTCACATCAAAAGATCTTCATGCATGTCTTACAATGTTACAGAACCTTATGAAGAGGTGTGCTTTTGACAAGGGGCCTTGTTGTTAGCAAATGAAATATCACATGTTAATGATACACACATAGTAAATATATATTTTATGTAGGCTCCCCTGAAGTAGGCAGTATTGAAAGAAGAAGAATTCAAACACACAGCACACAGCATCAGCCTTCGCATGATTCATCTTCTATCACATTTCAATGATTAGACTTCTTGCTAACTTGTTAGACTATAATGAGTATCTTTTCTTAGGCAAAGGCTACTAGGAATTAAATATAAAAATACCAAACCAGAAGGTATCGAAGCTCACAAGAATGCTTCTGGGATATATCATAAAGGTCATGATGTAAATGCAAAACAAGAATATATGTAAACTTGGTAAATAAAGACAACAGGAATGTTGTTGACAGGAACCAGCATGCATTATAAAATCAACAGCCATGTAGCATAGGCAAAACTGTAGTTACAGCTCAATCTGTCAAAACAGGAATGACTGATCTTGATTTTTGTCATTGTCAAACAAAATTCATGGTCGTTATCATCAAGTTATACAACATTCCTCATTCAGACTTCCTTTTTTCTGAAGTCAAATTAATGGATGTAATTAACCCTTCCTAATCAAAAATATTTTTTCGCCATGTCACTAGTGATTTGATCAGAAGGGTGCAATTGTTATTGGGTATTACTCAAATGACCTCACAGAGACTATCTAACAATTACAATCCTTCCTGATTGACCTCAGCTGTCTTGATTGAATATGCCTCTTTTGGCACATACTGTTATTGACTACAAGGAAGGGAGATGTTACATGTGCAGATATTAGTGCCAAAGCACAATAGCTGACCTGGATTCTGTGCACTATGAAATCAATGCAAATATCAACCAATGGCCTAATAAGTGTTATGAAATAAATATGCCTTTAACCCAACCTTTTGCATTAATAAACATAATAAAAAAAACATAACAGAACAGGTGGTGGAATCAGAATTCTATATATACCCACTTGATAAAGAAGGTGATATGATGAAAATAAGAGATGATTACAGAAATAAAGAGGTATCGACTTCCCTCAAGATGCCAGTATTAATTTCAAGGTATTCTCTACATCAGTATTTCAATGTACCTCTAAAGAATTCCAAAATGTGATTTCTTTATGGACGATGGCAACAACAAATATAGATAAGAGTCATCAGAAGATGACAAATCCCCCCCGGCCCCCACATCTCTGAAAAAACAAGTCATTTAACAGATACCTAAAGTCCAACTTCATTTCCAAATATACATCCACAAATAGCAAAAGGCACCAGTACAAGATCTGTTTGACATTTCTGCCAAGTTTTGTTGAAAGATACTGAACGGGTGGTGCTCTGGAAACAAAGCCCAACCCTCCCTTTTGAGACTAAATCCATATCATTTCCATGACAACCGAGAAAAATAAAAATGCCAAAAATCTGCAAAGAGCAAAAGGCACCACTCTGGGATCTGTCACACATATTTGCCAAGTATTGTTGATAGATATTGATAGTTTTGTGTTATGTTCCGGAAATGAAATCCACCCCTTTAGCAAAAGGCACCACTTTAGGTTCTGTTTGATATATCTACCAATTTTTGTTGAAAAATATTAAATTTTATTTGAGTTCTGCTCCAGAAACAAAATGATTACATCCCTCCGGACCGAAAGAGGCATTGACTATAATTATGGACAATAAGTGATAGCATGAGTTCACGTTATCTTTTAGACATAAACAACCTTTATTGCTTTGAATTCTGTCTTACTGATCTATTTTAAACCATTGTTTGCAGGTACTTGAAAAACAGAAGCATCATCTTGTCTTAAAATACCACCATTCACTTTCAATCTAAAAACATTACTTTAAGACATTGAACTATGAAGTCTCAGAGTTTACCATTTCAGAGGTAGGAAACAAATTTGTCACCAAAAAAGAAAATACAGCAAGCCTTGAAAGGTTTCCTTCTAAATCACACATCACTACCTTTGCCTCACACTTCTCAGGATTGGACTTCATAGTCAAATACAGAAAGGGCCCTGATCTTTAGCTCACTGTTATTTTAAATTCTCTACAACCATACAAAACTTAAAACACAATCTCTGTTGATTTCTATCATGTTTTCTTCCCAGCATCTACTGCCGCACATACTTTGAATATTACAGTAACCGAAACCCTAATTTTGTTACCTATAACTGTATGTATCCATATTTCAAAGTGCTTACTGACAATGATTAAGAAAGAAGTCCTTTTCAACAAACAATAGCATCTGAGACAATGTAGTCATAAAATATGCAATTTCAGTTAGAGGTGAAAACAGAAATTTGAAAGCTCTGATCAATCAGAATTAAATTTCATGGAGGTACCTTGTTTTGTGGTAGTGTTATTCATTGTAAATCAATGTAGTAATTGTATTAGATTGTTTCTTCTAAGATCCTTGATTCGCAAGCTAGGGCCTAGTTTGGAAGCTGGACCACTGTTGAAGCAAGATGAATGTTATCACTGTCTATATTGCTATAATTACTGTTTTTATACAATATTGCCATTGTATTTGTACTGCAATTGTAATTCCTTTGCAATAATTTATGTTGATTTTTAAACAGGTCAACTTCAGAATACATTGTTATTTGTATCAAATATCTTTGCTGTTTGTCAATTTCTCACCAAATTATTCTATGTATGTTTTTGTTTGAACTTTGAAATGAATGCATAACACTCTCTCATATCTATTCATGAAACTTGGTGAAAATAATGAATAGTACTCATCAAGCATGACCAAGTGCTTAGCTTTGAATACCACATACATATTTCACATTGATACTTGCAGAAACAGCTGAATAATGGACAAAACTATCAGTTTAGATTATGATTGCCACCACGACCATGTTTTAAATTGGCTGTCTGTGAAGGAATTTTGGAAACAATATAGCTGCAGACATTTAAACAAAATTTCAAAATCAGAGACAAAGGTTGTATCTAGATAAAAGATCAAAATAGGCTAAAAATGTTATTTAAAATATAAACACTTACATGGAGACAAGTCATATTTCACAGTGATAAATGAAGAGATCACATGACTGACTGACTGACTGAGTTTAGTTTTACGCCGCTTTTAGCAATATTCCAGCAATATCACGGCGGGGGACACCAGAAATGGGCTTAACACATTGTGCCCATGTGGGGAATCGAACCCGGGTCTTCGGCGTGACGAGCCAACGCTTTAACCACTAGGCTACCCCACCGCCCAGAGATCACATGATATTTTTACCATGTTTCTTACTGGAATGCAGTTTAAGAGAACCCACAGCTGGGATTATTAATACCAACTTTCAGCACAAAAGGCCTTGTACTTTCAATGACGTTAACACTGCAAGTAAATGACAGACAGACAACTAGATAGTGAAATACTCAGAAAATGGACAACATGCCATGACAAAAGCTCACTTGACTTTCCGTCTGGTGAGTAACAAATGCAATAAATCTATATAAATAAGATGTAAAACTTGTATGACAAATAAACAAACAACATATACTTCATAACCTCACTTGAATATTCGATTCAGAGGAGCTAAGAACATCACCAAAGTCCAGTTCGGAGTTTTTCAGGTTAATTTCTACCCTGTATAAAATATGCAGCAATCTAATGGCAAATTGTCCAATCCCATTTCTCAATTAGATTAGGATTCACTCTAATCTACAAGAAGAAGAATGAATCGATGCGAAGACTGATGCGAAGATCAATTTAAGATTAATTCTGATAAACTTGATTTGGATGCATAATTCACACAAACAAGACAGATTATAAGATAGCAGTTGAAATAATCAGGTATTATCAATCATGCTATTATATTCCAAACAAGGTATTATTTATTACGCTTTCATCATATTTCAAAGTCTAACAGTTTATTAGGGTTTTATTAAAACATTACCAAAAAACTAAGTACAGTACATCCTCTCTTAGACATCAGATCCTAAAACTATTCACTCAACATCAATAACAGGCCAATGTGTAGTCAGGATATGCTGGCTAATCACTACCATACCAAATACCAAATTATACAATCACACAAAGGTACATTTGTATGAAAGGGTTATCAATCACCAACATATCACAGTATTACAGGCTGGCACCTAATGGAGGCCTTCTTTTGGGGGGAACAAAGTATATGACCGGAAGTCAATAAGAAGCCAGCTTGTATTGGACATCAAATGTCTAAAAGAAGAACATCTGTATAATGAAGTTAATATATTAATATATTTAAAAATATATATAGTAAATTAACATTGTGAAAGTCATGAAAGACAAATGAATACTATCATGCTTTCCAATAATCATGATATCAAAGAACAGGAAACTCTGTTGAGGTTGAGCTGATAGTGAAGCCATTCCATAGAAACATTGAGCACTATTAAACAACAGACATACATGTTTAGGCATTCCCTTTCAAATGCATATTTCAGAGTAAATAGGTTTCAATCACTAGTAATAGTAATACATAATAGCAATGTTTCCTCCAAGTGGAATCATACATGAAAAGATATCACCTCAATATATCAAAGAAATATATGCACAGAATATTGTTCCACATCACTGCAGCTCACCTCTATATGTAGTCAACAGCTTAAACATGCTTTAAGTGACAACTACATCACAAAAGTTCCTGTCAGCATTGATACTCATTTTCCTCGGTGTAAAAGGTGAGTACAAGAGTATTAACAAAGATTAAACAAACCAAAATTGTCATCAAAGTTTCCAAATCTGCCTGAATGAATGTTCTTTTTGTGAACACAGTTGCAATGCACAAAAGTAACACTCATTTTGTACAGTAAGATTCATGCTACATACATATTAACTTTCTTGACATTTTTAACAATAATTATAGCATAATCACCATAATCACTTTATCAATATGGCTGCTGACGCTGACATATCAAAAATCAATTCAAACTTCATGAACAAATTCTTGTGTTTTCATTTGTAATTTCTACTTTATTGGTTCAGAGATTTCTGATATAATGTTCACATACGCCAATGGACTCAAAATAAGCAGCCCATGACATAAGCTCAGTAGACTTTACTAGCTTTAGTCAGGTGAGCTAAAAAGGAAAATTTATAAATCAGGGACATAACATGCAACAAATAACTAAGAAATGTGCAAACATGGAAAATTATAGTTAACAACTAAGACTTTGAGAAACAAAGAAACACCAATCAAGATAAATAAAAAAGCATTAGATAAATGTTAATAAATTATATTGTAATTGGTGCAAACATCTTGGATCCCCTCTGATAGAATTAAGAAACTGAACAAGATTCAAATGTCTATGATGAGAATTAACACTGATCAACAGAAGCATTATTTGGTTTGGATTTTGTCAATAATGAATCCTGCCTTCACTTTGCTCCAAGTCAGCATATACAGGCCATAAGTGGGATCTATAATGTCTCACCTGCTTGAGATGTGTCTTCAGGCTAGCACCTTCAGGATCTGGCATTGGAGGCAGAACCTCTGCATTTGTGGGCATTGTAATCTGGAACATTGTTGACATGAAAAACTAATTCCAGTATTCTAACTAACTCCTCAAACAACACTGAGTAGAATTACAAAACTTGCATTTTGAAAACAAACAACATGTAGCAACTGCTTGCAACAACATTGGTTCTGAAAGCTGTGTAGGATAAGCAGTTTATAATAATTTTACACATCCTTTGTTCTCTATAGTGTTATCTCTAACACTATTTTCCAGTGTACAAATGAACATTTTCCCCACAAAATACAGGTGTGTGGACAGGGTGCAGATCATACACTTACAAAATTAGTTGATTTGTCATGTAAAGCAAAGACAAAATCTACAGAATGTTACAACTAATCAGCATATCTGGACGGAAGTATGACAGTTATGCCACTATCATAACAAATTGTCATAACACTATCCAGATGTGAAAAGAGTTCAATGTACTTCCAGCTCTGTTGTAAATCTGTGTTATTATCGAATTCAAAGATATATTCAGTTTTATTCACATAAATGTTAGAAAAATCATGTTTGAACTGATCAGCAGATCAAACCAATCAAAATGTTATTTATCATGATCAGTTTACCGCCAGTGACACCTCATTTGACAGAATAAAGCTATACATATCATCAATGACATGTGTAACTCATCACAAGTCAATAGTTTGTTTCCCTGCATGTAGGTACATGGTTTTTCAGATTCACTATTGATAGTTGATCTTGAATGGTGGCTTAGCAGCAGTTATAAAAACACAATATTATAGTTCCGAATGAATTTCTCCCAATCACAGCATTCAAAGTCATTTGAGTTATAATACAAGCTACTTTCAAGTGATTCATCAGGAGCCAGTGCATGTACAAGAGACTGCAATTTCATGCTATGTACACATAATAATCACACCCTCACACATTGATTGCTAAGTAAACAAAATACAAAGTGTGAGGGGAAATGTATTTCACAAATAATGATGTCAGGTAATCTTATAAATTTACATCAGCCTTTTCACTCATTAAGCAGACCAATTAGTTGTAGGTATTTGCAGGAAGACAAATAGCAGTTGACTTTGAAGTTACCTTTTCTTTTACTCAAGTTTGTTTCAGGGACTGTGAAGTTGTATTAAAAACACCTTTCAAGAATATTCACAATTTCACATTTCCTGATCCATATAATCAAAAAACTAAAATATGCTTATGATTCTATTGTTATAATTTGCTCAAGTTAAGTGCAATCACATTCAAGATGGTGAGCACACAGCTAGATTTTGAATATAGAGTGACAATGACAAAACATCGGACAAACCATTATTTGGACAATCTTAACTGAACACCACAATAACCATTTAGGCAATAATATATTCAGCAATATCTTTCATAGAGTAGAATGAAAATTTCAATTTCTGTGTGTTTTCTTTTTAAATTGGTTTAGCCATGGGCCTTAGCCTCCAATTCCATTCTATCAAATATCGGATGTTTGGAAACTAGGCATTTCTACATAGAGGATGTGCCACCATCTCTAAAGCTCAGTTCTGCAATGCACAAGTTGTGTTTGGTTTTCTGAGTTGTGGAGTTTGGATAAAATATGATCAGGCTCCATGTTTTTGAATTTCAGTCCCTATGACTGTCACGTAACTTAGGGAATTTACTCTAAATAAAGCTGTAACGGGTACCTGGGTAGTGTAGTGCTACCTTGCTACCACTACCAGGGTCTAAAATATCTACCTGGTCCCAGCCCTAGTCACAAAATGGATTGAAGGAGGCCTGACCCAAACATCCTGGATACCCTCTGACAGATTTGATTCACAAAGTGCACGAAGTGAAAGAGTTTAGTTTTACGCCGCACTCAGCAATATTCCAGCTATATGGCGGCAGTCTGTAAATAATCTGGACCAGACAATCCCGTGATTAACAGCATGTGCATCGATCTGCACAATTGGAAACCGATGACATATGTTAACCAAGTCAGCGAGCCTGACCACCCGATCCCGTTAGTCGCCTGGGTTACTGAAGATCAATATTCTAACCTGGACCTTCATGGGTCCACAGTGCATGAAACACATGCATTCAAAATTCACTCAAGAACACACAGGAAAGAAGAATGCCATTTGTTCTGCTTTACACATATGCAAAATCATTGGGAAAAGGAAGATTATTTATCTGTCAACTGTTTACAGATAGCTGAATGTGAAGAAGACTTGGGGCGATCTCTACACACCATAACAGATGCAATTGTTTATTGTTTTTCCAAATTGGCATTGTGTATTCAGTGTTGTTACTCTGCAAGGAAGGGGATAAAACAAAGATCAGTTGGTTCAGAATCAGTGTTATATATCTGAGTGGGGTATCCAGATCAAAGAGTGGTATGATATGTCACATTAAAGCATAAGTACAGGCAGGCATACACACACAAGCAATCAATTTACTTGGTAAAAAAATATGTTCTTTTGAATGTACCGTTAACCCCATTTCACCACACCTATTGCAATACCAATATATTAACAGTGGTTACTTTTATGGTTTCATTATGTGTTATGACATCCCATGTGAAAGCTACAATCCTGATTTCACCAGTACTGACTACAAGAATGTGGAACACATTCATAAATGAGAAATAAAATGATAATCTGGCATTGAGACTTCCCATACTGACGTAAATCCAATCAGACAATAATTTAACATACTCATCTGATAATGAGGGAGAAATAGCCTCCTTACAGCACATGGATTTATATTTACTGTGAAGTGTAAGAGGCAGTAAATTGTTTACCTTGTTGGAGTCAAGGTCTATGAGCCAGACATCATCAGGCACCCTGAAGTCCTTCTTGTACAGGAAGAAGCTGGCAGGAACACCAATCAGGTAAGGGGTTGGGGCCAGCAGCAACTACAACAAACACAGACAAATAGGACTGATTAGTTTGTGTGCGTGCATGTGTGCTTGCTTGATCATATATATCTCTGTCTGTCTGTCTGTCTGTGTTAGTGTGTGTCTGTCTCTGTATGTGTGAGGGCGTAAGGTGAGGGTAGGGTGAGGGGTTGGGGAGGGAGGGGGTGGGGGGTGGGGGTGTTTTGGTTTTGTTGTTTTTCAGAGATTTACCTTGGATCTGTGTGGAAGACAAAAAGAGTTTTGACCAAGATTGGACATGTTTGTAAAGAATTCAAAGCTAAGCCTGTTCAGGCTAAGTGTGTAAAGTACCCACCTGCTCTGCTGATGCCATACATGTGGGCAGCAGTGGGATGACTGGGAACATGTACTCCAAGGGATACAGCATGGACACAAATGCCATCACACTCATAGATAAGGCATTGTAGTCACGGGATTGGAGCACAACCTGAAACACATACACGGCAATTCAAATTACACAGCAAGAATTAAACTTTAGTTACTTGGCTCTACAAATACATTTCCTTGAAAAAATGATTAGGTGTTGATATGACAAATTTAAAAACAGAAGTAACCCCATCAACAACCTTTTCCTAAACGTCCCAAAGCTTTCCACCAGAAAGGAACAGTTATATGTATTGCTAGTATTTGTTAGCAAATTTACCCCTGGATTTAGGTTGCCTTTTATCTGTGGGTACCACTGAGACATACAGAATGGAAATGAAAATGTAATTTTCTGAATAAAATTGATATTTTATACTTATCCTGACTCATGCTCTTTTGCTTGTCTTCTTCTTCTTGCGAACATAGTGGAACACTTGTATCTCCCTAATTGAAGCTCCCTTCAATGTAAAATCACTAATTAGTACTCACCAAGAGTTGCTTCCCTTTCCGAAATGTGCGGGATAGGAGGCGCCACCTCTTCCCACATGCTTCACTCGCTCCTGTTTAACGAGCCCAACACTTGAATTTACAGGGAAATCCAAAGTGTTATGTGGGGAGGATGGGAGGGCTTACCTCATGAGTCAGGATAAGTATAAAATATCAATTTTATTCAGAAAATTACATATTTTTCCTTATCCTGACTCATGCTCTTTTGCTTGTAGAATCCTACGGAAACGGAGGTGGGAAACAGAATACTTCGGACTTAAATAATTAGTGATTTATATATGTAATAACCCCCTACGGGAACTTCATAATGGCACTGTAATTAACTCTTTCAACACCAGTCAACCAGAGGCATTTACTGCCATGACACCGAGCTCCAAGAGACTCTGAGGTCATAGATGAAGCCTATGTTTATGAAGGAAATTATAAGCTTGTAAAACGTTATTGCTACTACATCCCATACACCATTTAAAAGATCTAATCCTACTGTTGATAAATATTCAAATAATACAACTACAACTTAAATAAAATTAATTTTTAATGAAAACGCAAGCTTACATTTATAACGTCCAGATAAACCACGAAAGAAGCAAAAACTGTGGCGATTTTTTTCCATTTGTGACATGTCATAACATGCCCGTGCCTTTTTCTTTTCTATTTTCATTTTTACGTAATCAGAAAACTATCATAAAAATATTTCTTAAATAATATGTATGGTCGCCTATTTCTCGATGTCTGTGGCTTTCCGCTCGGTAACATGACATAACAACGGAAAATACCTCCGTTTTCTGAGCGTTGTATGAATAACATGGGAGGCTTAATCGTCTGATGTCGGGTATCGCTCGAAAAGCTCTGAACATCAACAACATCACTGAACCCTTGCCACGAGTATTTTCACAGTTGTAAGAAGCGATTTTATTGGATAAAAATTGGTTTCTAATGACGCTTTTTCGCTACAGTCTGCTATAAGGGTCGTGATTGGTCAAAATGAGACACGTGACCTAAGGCAGCCAATCATATTACGGCAATGGATGACGTCCTCGTAAACGAAAACTTTTAGATTTAGAGGAAAGTTTTGGGTAAAATAATGCTATTTTGAACATATTAAGCAAGAAATCGCTACCTATACGTAAATTATGGAACTTATTGGACGTATCGTGGTAGGTTATGACCTGTGACAAAAATGCTTCATGTATATATTTTCGCATTAAACATCGTGTCCGAGCAGTGAAGATTGAGGCGGCGAGAGCCGGGATGTCACTTGTCAGTGACTTGACTTACATTACATGATCGCACAAAAAGATGGAAATAATAATTTTATATGTACGTTTGACAACTTTTATGAATGTTGTTGTTGATTTTATTCATTAGTTTATTCAATTTATTTAATGAATTCCTCGAAACATCGTTACTTTGCTCTTTGACAATGTTATGGTGGACCCGCTGCCGAAGCATGTGTCCGAGAATCATTGTTTTCAAGAACATTGCGAAGAATAGTTTATAATTTTAATTCTGCTGATAATATATGATAAATTTAAATTTAATAAGTGTTTTCAGACATTGTGAAATGTGATAGATTTAATATATGAATCATAAGTCAGGTAGGTTCCTAAAATTATGTCTGATTTTGACGTGACTACTGCCTGGCCGCTAAAGCGGCCTCCGGTGTCTGGGGACTCATAACGTTGTGGCCACTTAAGCGGCCTGCGGTGTTGAAAGGGTTAAGATAATTCCTGCTGCTATAATACATAAGTTCTACCAGCTGCCATAAATGGGGGTACTACAATATTTAGATAATATGATAATAATAATAATAGTATAAAAGTGACTCAAAAGTGGAGAAGCGACCCAATGTACATGTAACATCAGTACTGGGCTTAAGACTAATGTAGACTTAAGATATGTATATAATTAGCAGAAAACTCCGTAGAGTTATAAGCTAGATAATACTGGTATGATATATACAGAATAATCTCGTGAGACTATGTCTCATCGTCTACGAGGGACTGTCAACTGCTGTGCGAGGACCATGGGACCGAAATGGTGAATACCTGAGATGTCCTCGGTGGTGATATCTCTCAGATAGTGGTTAGCAAACACCATGTCGGATTTCCCAAAGCAGCCCTCCATAATGGTATTCAACGAGCAATTTCCGTGTAGAGCGAGTGTCGAAGCCAGTGCTCTGATTTCATGGGGATTAGATGCTCTTGGAGGGTCGAGTCCTGCAGCCTTGTAGGTACGAAGTATGACAGTACTGATCCTTATCGATATCGTGGTACGGGAGACTTCGGTCTGAGTCGCTGTCGATAGAGGGATGAATAACCGCTTGAGTTGTCGTCACCTCGTTTTGGATCGTTGTAGATAGATTTTGAGTGCTCTCACTGGGCATAATGATAGGTCAAGCGTATCATGAGGTCCGAGAATTGAGGAAAGTGCAGGGACATGGAATAATCTGTCTGGTTGACCTGGCAATTGATTCTTGGCGATAAAGTCCCATCGCAGTCCCATATGCACTATGTTTTGATTGTCATCGAAACGTGTTCTCTAATAATCTAGAGCGTGAATTTCTGACATCCTGGCTGCCGTTGCTAGGGATAACAGGAACAATGTTTTCTGTGTCAGAAATTCAAACGATGTTGATTCCAGTGGTTCATAGGCCTCACTTGTGAGGTGTTGGAGCACTACATTTAGATCCCATGCTGGAGCGCGAAATCTCTGTTTCTGATCCTCCAATCGGAATGAACGTAGCAAGGCCAGTAACTCTGGCGTCTTAGTTACTTGACCTTTAATACAGTCCATACGTGAAGTTGGAATGCTTCTGGGTTTCCGTGCGCTTGTTTGGTGTGAGGATGTACTAGTAGATTCGAGCGCTTTGGTAGTTGTAGTATTGGTTGTCTGATTTCTTGAATTAGAATGGGAAACCACGGAATTAGCGCTGGTGGCGGAAACGCGTACGCGTTGAGGCCTTCCCAGGATATGCTTAGTGCGTCCGTTGCCCACGCTTGTGGATCCGCGACTGGTGATACGAATGTTGTTAGCTGATTGTTGAAGCGAGTGGCGAATAGATCTACTAGCGGAGCTCCTATTTCCTTGATAATCTGTGCAAAGATTTCTGTATGGAGCATCCATTCTGTCGGTGACGGTAGATGTGGCCGAGAGAGTGCGTCTGCTAGTACATTCTTGGCTCCAGGAATGTGACATGCTCTGACATGTATGTTGAGATCGTCGATTAGATCGAACAGTTGAAAGCATAGCGTCAATAGGTTCAATGATCTCGTTGAGCCTTGTTTGTTTATATAAAACGCCACTGTTGAGTTGTCGGTGTGAATCATTAGATGCGCATTCTGTAGAATGGTGCTCCAATGTAGTAGGGCGTTGATTACTGCTTTCATTTCTAGCATGTTTATGTGCAGCTTGCTCTCTTGCTGGTTCCATAACCCTGATGCCGTCCGGTTGGCGAGATGAGCTCCCCAACCTTGGAGCGACGCGTCTACATAGAGATGGGTTTTGAACTCCGGCTCTGTTAAATAGATGCCTTCACAAACATTCGACCTCCTGGTCCACCAAAGTAGATGAGGTCTGAGGTAATAATCTGTCCGGATCGTCCGGTTGTACATTCATGAAAACCAGTAGTGGGCGTAGTTTTAATTCTCTTTGCATGTCATGTCTTGTGCTGACGTGCGAAAAACCAACAGATTTCGCCACTTTGTAGTAAAAACGGAGAGAGTAGTGCTTGAGATACAAGAACTTGTATCTATATCCTACGATCTTGACACCCTTACCGTGTCTGTAAGGAAATGAAGTGATGGCCGACTCTTTAACTGCCATCATTGAAACTATGTAAAAATCGCCTGGCTGCCGCGACCTCGTCTTTAATGATGACAGGGGAGGTCTCTAACCCCATGAAGGCAGCCAAATCACGAAGGTCCAGTCTAACTGGACTGTAATGGAGGCGTTGCTCGCTCGCTGACATGTTATTGTCACTTGTAACCCATGCTTTGATCTGTGAACTACGTTTGATCTCTGTGCAGGGCGTTGTCCCTCGTGGTCCAATCAAAACAAAGCATTTTGATTCTGTAGGCTAGCCGCGCTGTGATGTCACCGGTGTAGCAGGAAAAAGATCCTTGTAGAATCTAGTGCTGTCGTTGATATCTGATCAATCGTCGGTCTTGTCCGTAGCTTTCCGAAGTTACACGAGTGACCACGTGTGTTGAGGGTTAAATTGTAAACGCGTGAATATTTGGGCGCGAAATATTTCGCCGCGTAATATCGATGCTGGGTAGGCTGTCTACTTCAGTCTTGAAGATAATGCCATCGTCCTTATACATAGGCTCAATTGAACTTTCACGTTGTCAGCTTGTAGACTGCATACATCAATGAAGCGTCGTAATTGTAGAATTAATGCTGAACTTGTAAATTTTTTTCTCAGGGAATCGTGGACGATTATGTATTTATCTCGCTGTAGCAAGGCTGCTGTTGAATCCCGTCATTGAGAATGTCTGCAGATCTGTACAAAGGTGAAGATCTGTATAAGGCCATGAATCTTCTAATGTAGATATA